TTAAACTATTTTTTTTTTTTCTAACAAATTTTTCGAGAGTATTTACAAACTTTAAATACTTAATTGCTTCTTCTTACTGAAGCAAAAATGCACGCACATTTCCTAAACTTTTTGATACTTTACTTACACTAATAGGCTCTACTTCAACACTATCATCATCTTCTTCTGGACTTTTGTTAGATCTTTTTTTAAATATATCTACCAGTTCTATAATAACTTAATCATCATCAGGAATTTCGTAAATGATATCTTCTTCAGAAGGGGTTAAAAATTCTTTTAATTGCATTGCATTAGAAAAATTAAGAATTCTGAGTATATTAAAAAATTCTTCATGCAATAAATCATCAGTTTTTTCTAGATCTTCAAAACTATTGCTATTGGGAAGAATCTTAGTATGATTCTAGCAATTCTGGATCATTTCAGCTATAACACCATCCCAAGCTTGTATAATATATTGAATTCCTTGTAAAATGCTTATTTTTAGATCTTATGCAGAATGATCAGCTTCAACTTATTCTAGAATTCATCGAATTTGAAAATAGCGATAGCATTTCTTAAAAGTCATAATGATTCTGGCATCCATTGGTTAGATTTTTGAAGTTGTATTTGGAGACAAAAAATGAATATCAACGTTTGAAAGAACTAATCCTTCTATTTTATAGCTTGTACAATTATCAAGAAGTAGCAAAACACGTTGACCTCTATGTCTTTTAAAAACTTGCAAATCAAATTCTCAAAGCCATTCTTGAAAAAGAGTTATTAGCATCTAAGCTTTAGAGTTATGTCGATAAGTCATTGGTAAGTTAGAACGTTTAATATTTTTAAAGCATTATGGCTTCGCACTTTTTTCAATAATTAAAGGTCTTAACTTATGTAATCCATTAGCATTTGTACATAAGGCAATAGAAAGCCTTTCTTTATTTTTTTTACATCCAGCAAAACGTTTAGTGGCTAATATTCGATCTGGTTCTAACTGATAAAAGAGTCCTTGTCTCATTCATATTGTATATCCTTTCAAGAGAATAATTAGCACATTTGTCATGTAGAATTGGTAAAGCTTCAAGAATAGCAGTATTGTTAGCAGAATCTGCTTCTCCATAAAGCTTTTCTTGGCAAATTCCATTTCATTCTTTAAATTTATGCAGCCAGCCAGAGGAAAACTGTAATGCACCTTCAGGAACTCCTAATCCATTAGCAAGCAACTTTGCTTTTTCAATTAGCATTGCATCACTTAAAATAGTTTTATGCTGATAATATAATACAAATTCCTTTAACGCAAGCTCAAATTCTGAAAAAGCAACAGATTTATGTCATTTAATTTTTGGATTGATGATTTCTGTGGTAAGTCATTTATCTTTACTTTGTAAAATTCTTGTTATTGTAAATTCATTAACTCTAACTTCCCATTGTTTTTCAATCCAATCTATGTATTATGATCAAGTTTTTTTATTATCATAAGCATAAAGACAAAGCTCATATTTCTAAATATCAGTTAGGGTAATTTTTTTAGGAGGCATATTGTTTAAGATTTAATACAGCAATAGCTAAATTCACATACAGTATTTATAATAAATTTGATTATATATTAAAAAGCATACAATTAAATATAAGAGGTTATTATCATTTAAAACATAAGTAAATGCAAGAGGCTATGTTTATTATTTGAATCTATTGCGCAAGTTCTAAAATATGCAACTTTACTGAAAATATGTCTACTAAAATAAACAGCTTTATCAAAAATGCGTAATTTACCAAAAAATACAGATATATAGCCTTAATCTAATTTATCAGAATGTATAATTTTACTAATCTGATTTATAAAAATACATGGCTTTATTAATCCAATTTATTAAAAATATGTGGCTTTATTGATTTGATTTATCAAAAATATATGATTTTACTGATCCGATTTATCAAAAATGTATGGCTTTACTGATCTGATTTATCAAAAATGTATAACTTTACTGATTCTATTTATCAAAAATACGTGGCTTTACTGATCTGATTTATCAAAAATGTATGGCTTTCCTGATCTGATTTATCAAAAATGTGTAAATGTGTAGCTTTATTGATCTGATTTACCAAAAATATACAGCTTTCTGAAACTGATCCAATTTATCAAAAATGCATAGCTTTATCAAAGTGCGTAGCTTTATTAAAAATATATAGCTTTATCGAATAGTATTTATAAATAACTTTTATAAACTTTATTTTATTAGTATTACTGATGATAAGATATTTGTTGTAACTTTACCTGAGCAAATTTAAGGTTTATTTATATTTTTTAAGAAATATTAAAGGTTGTATGGTATAGTTTATAATTGTGATTAGTCACGTGATATGTATTTATAGAATGAACTTATTATATGAAGAATCGGAAACTTGTTGCATATGCAGAATATAGAGGGTGCATTTATCTTATAGGTCCCATGCTTGGGATCGGATATAAGAGTGTATTTAGAGAGGGTGTGCACTTATAGAGGATGCATTTAGAGAGGTTTGACTGTATATTTAAATTATATAAAAAGATTTCTAAGAAAATCAGATTATGAGAAATTTTTGATTAAATTTTAAAAGTTTAATACTAATAATATCAAAAACTAAAATGTAATAAAAGTTTTAATTTTATTAAATATTTTTAAAACCTTATTTTCTGACAATTAACCTATATAAAAATATATAAAATAAACAAATTAATTAAAAAATAATATATATATATATAAATAAAACTTAATTTATTTTCTAATATATTAAATATAAAAGTTAGATTATTTAATATTAAATTATAAATTATTATTATATAATTAATATAAATAATTATATAATTATTTACTAATTATATTAAATATTTTTTAAATTATGATTTAATAAATGTAAATTATAATAAAAATATAATAAATATAAATAAATATAAATAATATATAATTTAAATTATTAAATATATAAAATTAAATTAAATTAATTATAATTAAATATATAGTTAAATATATAAATGATTTGTAATAAAAAGAAAGAAAGCTATTAAAAAAAATTTTTTTTTAAATTAATATTAAATCTGAATTTATTTTATTAAAAAAATAATATTTAGCTTATAAAGTAAAAAATTTTTTTTTGATAATTTTCTCTTTTTTATTGCAATACACTCATATAATTAAGTTAAAAAAAATAAATTATTATATTTAAATTTTAATTAAATTTAATTATAGTAAAATTATATAAATATAATTAACTTATAATTAAAATTACTAAATTAATTACTTTAATTAAAGTTTTAATTATTATTTAGAGTAGAGTATAGGATATTATACTTTTAGAAAATATAAAAAATTTAATCAAATGAGTATTTTTATTTGTTATACTACATATGCAATAAAATCAGTAAATAAAAAAATAAAACAAAAAAATAAAAAAAACAAAAATAAAATAATAAAAATAAAAATTAATTTATTTTATATTTATTGATTTAAATAAAAATTTTGCACTGAACTTAAAATGTTTCTATTTTCTAGTAATATTTAATTATTTAAAGAAAAATTATTACATATTACTAGTAGTATAAATTATTATACATAATTTATATTTGTTAACTGTGTCATATCTTCTCTATCTTTTAATTTTACTATTTATTTTAAGAACTTAGAATTTTTTTATCATGAAAAATCTTATTTATTACAAATTATTTATTATACAGTGTTAGTGATAATTCGTATGTATCACTAAATGACTGCATTAACTAATATTACTAATGATCATTATGAAAATCGTGATTATCATTTTCACTAATTTTATTGTTATCATAGTTATTATTGTAATATTTATTATTATTATTATAACGTTTATCATTATTTTCTTTACTATATTTATTATCATAATTATATTTACTTTTTTTTATTATATTTATTATTACTTTCTTATAATTATATTTTATAAAAATCATGTATTGTTGCTTTAATAAACTAATAAGTTTCTATCATATAATTAATAAAGTATAATTCTAATAACATAAAACTATATCTTATCAGTATATATTTTCTTAAAATATAACTCATTAATAAAGATAACCTGACCTTTCAACTTAAATAAATTTGTATTTATTCCTTTTATGGTTTATAGCTTAAACTCCCTATTAGCAAATAAGCTTTGATATCCTAATAATATAGTATTTAGGCTTAATAATAGGTAATTTTTATACTATTAAAATTCTGGTTAAAATTATAAATTTAACCTCAATTATAAATACTGGTAATAAATAGCAAACTTCTTAAAAATATTAATATTATTACAATTATTTTATAAATAAAAATTATTAATTATTAAATAAAAATAATTTATATTCTAAATTAATAGATTTTTTAATCATTAAACTTTATATTTTATAAATTATTAACATTTTTAAATTTAAGAATTTCAATAAGAACTTGTATTTATTTAAGAGAATTTATTTTAAAAATTAATTTATTTGTCTGCAAATTGCTTAATTATATTTTTTTTTTTTAAGATATATTTTTTTCTTTAATAATAATTATTTATAATATTTCTATTAATTTTGTTTATTTTTAAATTTAGTATCCTTTTACATATTCATTATTTAATTTCAAAATATAAACAACTAAATACTAGTTACTTAGTACAAAATGTAAATCTTAATTGGCTTTAAATAAAATATTAAAATTAGTAAAGAAACAAAATGTATTGCTATATTTAAAATTAAAAAATTAAATAATAATGCAAAGTTTAAAATTACAAAATAAAAAGTATTTTTATTTATATAAACTAGTTCATATTTGGTTAATATCGTAATTTTCACAAACTATATTCACTCATTGAGAAATGAGAATGATAAAAGTTAGTAATGAAATTTGGTCAATTGTTACAAATTTCTAAAAAGAGGTCTTAGTTACAACTTTAATTATAAATATTCTAAGAAGCTTTTAATACATGATACATAATAATAAAGTCATCTTATTTTAGATTAACTAAGTGTCAGTGAAGTTTATCAAATGAATTTAGTAAGGTAAATAAATTCTAAATTAAATTACTCTGTTTTAATGATATAATAAATTTTAAAAAATTAAAAAAAAATTATAGGGGAAAGACATCACAGCTACACCATTAGGTGTCACACTATCACCGACTTTTGTAGTTGCACAGCCTATAACTGTTTCAGGTGGGTCTATAACAGCAACTACGATGGCATATGGATTAGGTAATTTTGGTGAATCCCTTGTTCAGTAAAATGAGATTTAGGACAAACATTTGCAATACAAATTGGTAAAGTATAATGATTGCCTATGACTTTTTTAGTTGTAGGATCAACATAATAAGCAAGAATTTAGGTTTTATTTGTTATTTCTGAATTTAAAGTTCCGGAAACAGTAAAAGTGCTGGATTGTCCGGGAACGACAGAAACAGGATTAATTACTACGGAGATTGTGGGTGGTGATGTATTGGATATTGGACCTTTCAGGAGGGGGGCATGCCCCAAAAGTAGTATGAATCAGGTGTGTGGTTTGATATTCATTATTCAAAATGATTATATTTTGAATATTAAACGGAAAAAAATTAATCAGAAATATTATCCGTAAATAGCAATAGTTTTAATCAAAGATTCTTTAGCACGGCACGCTTGAATTGATTGTAGACGATACGAATTCAGAGATATCAAGTAATTTTTGATAAAGAAAAATTAAAGAATAATCACATTTGCTCAACCTTACTCCACTACTCCCGATGATAAGGTACGATTTACCATATGTTCGTACTGGTTATAATCTTATAGTGGTATAGTTGATTCAAATTTCACGAAACGTTTTGCTACTGAACAAAAGATTCATACCGTGCCGATTGATTTCCATATCCAATGAAGCGCCATCCTGTTCAAAAGTCTGGGAATCAAACCCCAGAAGTTATGATAAAATTTTAGCCAATAACGTAACTCTATGGAATAAAAAACGTTTGTGCTTTCACCTTTTATTCATAGGAATGGTAACTATTTGATTTGCAAAATAATTTCCAAGATCCATTGACTTAATAAATACTATTTCCTCGGTGAAATTCACGTTTTGATGATTTAGCCTAAAAAACTCCTCATAATCATCTCTGCAAAGGTTTGTTAATTTGGCGCGCAAAAAACAAAAATAAATATAAAAATAAAATAAAATAAAATGCAGAACTCTTACCAAAAATCCAAATTTTCTGGTGAATCTCTGATAAAACTTCACAGCAAAGAACATTAAAGGTACCGCCTACGTTTTGATAAATCTAACTTTAACGTTAATATTAAGTAACGTTATATAATTACATGTATTTTACGAATTGCAAATTTATGCATTCAACATTAAAGGTTCAAATCTTGATCAACTTAGTGTATTTTAAAATTCTTGATGTTCTCAAAGATAAATTAAAAAAGTTTCTTATTATACATGTATTTTTTTTATTTTTATTTTTATTTTTATTTTTGTTTTCCCATATTATAAAATTTTAAAACGATTATAAAAAAAAAGAAAATAATTATAGGAAAAAAATAATTTTTTTTTTAATATAACATACTGTATATATAAAAAAATTATTTGAATTATCATAAAATATCGAATTTGTTAATTTTTGCATTATACGAACCTTAATGCTGGCACTTTTCCAACTTGTTTTATTTAAATCAAATCAATCAGTCTATATTCTCTAAAACATAACCTTGTTGACAAGGTGACTTGTATAACTCTTCGGCATTAAAGTTAATCAAAAGATCGTATCATCCTCACACGAAGGTGTAGTCATTAATACTTTCATAAGTGCAACTGATTCAATAATTTATGATGGTTATAATTTTTACGTCACATAATAAACTAATAATTTAAGTTGAACGAGAAGTAACTTCGAGAAAAGTGTAATAATATCGAATATAAGATAATCTTTGTGAAGGGATTCATCGCAACCACAAATGAGACGCATTCATTTCACCGACAAACGTTTTATCGACAAGACATTCCAAAAAAAAAAAATTTTTTTAAGTTAAAAAATTACAATAAATACTATAATTTATATATTTCGATAAATTTGATTATTTATTCCGAAATAATTTTATTTATTTATTAATTGCCACATATTAACTAAATTAATATGTAACATTGATAAAATATGTAAATTGACTATAAATAACATATAATCGCCGAATTGAAATTCTTTAATTTCATGTATAACAAAAAGAAAATATTTACTTAAGCAAGATGAAAATTAATATCTAAATATTTCCATATCTGTTAAACAACTTTTACTTATTAACAAAAGTTAGTTTTGTTTGACCAAAGTTCTAAATTACGCTACAATATGTTTGCACGAAATATAATAAATAAGTAATACTTCATGAATATTTAAGCTAACTTGATAAATATTGATATTTGTATAGCAGAATAACTTTGCTTAGTCTTTAAGAAAGCGTTTACTTTGGATAAGTTGTTGTAATTATGCTATAAATATAATAAAACCAAGCGTGGTATTGTATTTCTGTAATAAACGCATTTATAAAAAAATAAAAGTAATCATGTTCATAGTTTTTATGAATAATAAATACTTTTATATTTATTTGAAAACTATATCAAAAAACTTTAAAGAATATAAAAGAAAGAGGAAGAAGAAAGTAGTTTATTATTGAAGTGTAAACCATAAACAAATAAATCATTGTGTGTGATCAGAGGAAAAGGATAGTATCGATACCCTTGTATAGCTTTCCCAGTATCACCAACAATTTTTCCACCCCTCATATTTGTCACCCGGTGTCACACCCTCCGCGTTTCCATTTTTCATAAGTATTCCAGGGACAGAAAATTTTTTAAGTGGAATGGTGAAAAATATTTTTTTCAAGCCCCTTATATGGTAAATGTTTGTAAATCTGATCGTCACATCACACAAATAAGTCGTGCAAGAGAATAAATATTAAATTTTATTTTTCTCCGGATTCACAATGGTTTCTATATAGCTAATATTTAAATCGATTTTTAATATAATTCAGAATCTTTTACCTCTAATTTCTTTCTTTTATTTTCTTGGAAATATTCCAAATAATCTTCCCTTTCACGTAATAACCTTTCTTTTCCAAAAATTATATTGTATCGCGTTGCAAAATAAGCTCGTCATAAGAAAAAAGCATAGAAAATTATATATATAGAAAAATGGCAAAAAGTGAGAAATTGATGAAATTATAAATGAAATGGATGAAAAATACGTTCTCAAAAAAGAACGCGCTTGAAAACAATAGTTCTTTTAAAAAATAACTTTGTTTATTTTGAAATTCATATAAATTCTATTGCCAGTGATCTCAAATATTAGTAATTTTATGATTAGTTCGGACTAGAGTTATTTCGCGAATAAAAATTCCATGTTAATTCCTTAAATTAATATCGTAATAAAGTAAGCTCCGTATTTACTTGAACTAATTAGATTAATAGTTATGTATATAAAAAAAACAGGCTTTTACAACGACAGACAAGGAAATATTCATGATGTAATTATTCCTCACCTTAACTGGGGAGTCTAAACTTTGTCATCCATTCACTAGTTGGTATATTATGCTTTCGTGAACATTCTAATTTTAATCTGAGATATGATCAGCTGCAAAACCGCTCGTAAGATTTCTTCTAGAAAATGGGAATACAAAAATTAAAGTAAGCCAATGTTTAGCAGTAATTTTGTTTATACAGTATATACGTCTTCAACTAACATTTTATTCTCACGAAACTATAAAACTTGCATTTTTATTTCCTTTTTATGTTTGCATAGAACTTCTAATTAAAAGTTCGTAATCTTAAACGTACTAAATTATATATGATAAATTTTAGGTTAAATTAAATTTTTTTGATCGAAAATTTGATAAATAGAATATCATATATTAAACTTTATATAAATGAATCCAATGTTTTTTAGATGCTCAGTTCAAAAAACAACTTCTTTCTCATTTATTTTGGTATTTACTAGTATTTAAGAATTATGATTACAAATTACGAAGAATTTACTGAATTTACATTAATCAGAAAACACTATACATTTAACATACTTATAAACACATCTATTCATTAAAATTTGATTTTAAAGACAAATATTGGATACTCAAAAATCATGGAAATCTTTACCGAGGATCATTGAATTAAACAAAACTTATATATGCATTTAATGAACCGAGTTCTTTGCTGTGAGAACCTGATTCATTCAAATTAGCTAGATTTATACGGACATTGCCGAAGTTCATTTCTAATTTTATAAAATATTTTTTTTTTATAATAAAAAAAAAGAAATATCATAAACTTTCTTCCGTAACCATGTATTAGGTAAATCTAGATAGTTTGAACTAACATAAATATTTTTGGTTATTAATTTCTATAACAAATATTAAGTAATTTTAAATTTCATTCGGCTAATTGTTGCTTCAAATTTGATCCAACAATTTTTTAACAAAAATTAACTACATAAACACCTTCATTAGTAGGTGGAGGTAGGAATGATTATGTTAAATTTCGAAATGACTGACTGACATAATAGATTAACGTTAACTTTAATCTAAAATTCATTTTTCTATTTTAATATTAGGTATCAATCACTAAATTACACAAAAATAAGTATATATAAAATTCAAAACAAGCAGAATATGTGTGCTTTGAACCAAAATAAGATTTAAGGATCTAAGTTTTTATAGTTTAAACTATTTTTAAATTGAAGGAACCAATTTTTTTCTTAAATTTTGCTTGTGTTATTATCAACCCTTTACAGATTCTTTTCACTTCATCAGAGGTTGACCGAATATCTCTTGCGAAGATAGGATGTATAGAATAATAGCTTAATTATTTGGTTGTATAAAAGTTTATCAAAAAAAAAAAAGAACCTTTAATATAATGAACATAAGTGATGGATGTAATAAAAAAAAAAACAAAATTTTTTTTTTTTTTTTTTTTTGTTTTGAAACAGTTTATCAAATATTTATACGATTTTCTTATTATTTATTTTATTTTTTCAGAATATATAAAATGATGATAATATATAATAGTTTGTCCTGAAAAAAAAAATTTTTTTAAAAGAAACCTACCGGGCCTGATCAGGTGATCTGTAAGTATAGGATTTACAGGATTCTATGAACGAAAATATCATGTGCAACAGAACGGGATAAATAAGACAGGGATGAAATATAATTCATAATCAATTTATTAATCAATTTTAATAAAATTTAATTTACAATAATTAATTAATTCTCATTTATTTATTTATGACGATTTAAAAAATAAGTTGTTAGTTTTAAATTCATCATTAATAATGAACATTGTTATTTTCATTTGGTAAATTTATCCAGATAAATAAATTAGCTTTCGTCCTCCAGTATTTTTTTGTTGTATCTGATTTTTGAAATCAAATAATTTGGATATAAAATAAATTCAGTTTCATTCTCTAACCCGGTTTCTTTTTTATACTATGCTTCTAAAAGAATTCATTCGCGGCTTGGAGGCCCGGATGGTTTTAAATTACACAAAGTATATTAATTTTAATTTGCATAACTGTACGTCACGCCATTGTACAGAACATACACAAACATTTATGCGGCAGACCTGTGTAACTAACACAATGATTTTAAATTCACTTGAAACTAATATTTGAAAAAAAAAGTACTACTACAACATAAAATTATTGATTTAGCGAACTTGTCGATTAAATAATTTTTTTCTTTTTATTAAAATAAAAAAAATGTCGAAAATATCATATAAAGACGGACTTAAGAAATCAAAAATTTACATTGATTGGTTACAAAATTCTATAGCAGATGAATGTATCAACTATTATAAATATTTAGACTTTAAAAATTTACAACCAATAGGAAGTGGCGCATTTGGAAAAGTCTTTTGTGCTAATTGGAAAGATACAGATGCTATTTTTGCTTTAAAGTCATTTGATAATAATAAGTTAACCATTAAAGAGGTCGTCAATGAGGTATGTATAAATTCTTAATCATTTTAAACTTACAAATGATAAATCAAGTTGAAATCAATTTACATATTTTATACAGATTAAATTACAAAAAAAAGTTGATTTTCATCCAAATATTTTACGGTTTCATGGAATCACCTATATGGATTTTGGTAAGAATTAATCTAATCTATTGATCATTTTAATTAATTAATTCAATAAATTATATTATTTCGAATTGACTCAATTTAGACACAATTCATCAGATGAACAAATACTTGTTGGTTTTGGAATTTGCTGATAGTGGTACATTAAATGCTTATTTAAGTGAGCATTTTAATGAACTTGATTGGAATGACAAATGTCAGCTAGCATTACAGTTAGCAAGTGCTTTAGAAAGTATACATAATTGTGATATTATACATCGCGATCTGGTATTAATTTATTTTTTTTTTAATTCAAGCATAGTATTTCTTATAGTTAATTAATTCTTTTTAAATTACAGCATGCTAGTAATATACTTGTGCATCAAAAAATTATAAAACTGGCGGATTTTGGTTTATCAAGAAAAATTACTGAAGCCTCATCAACTACAAAATTACACGGTGTAATACCTTATGTAGACGCTAAAAGCTTAGATACTCATAAAAAGAATTACAAATTAACAAAAAAATCTGACATCTATAGTGTTGGAGTTTTGATGTGGCAAATTTCAAGTGGATGTCGACCATTTAATGATGTAGATTATGATATAAGATTGACCTTGGATATAATAAATGGAAAAAGAGAGAAAATAATCGATGGTACTCCACTTGAATATAGTTTCTTATATCAAAGTAAATATGTTATGATTTTTAATCAATTGGCTTTCTTTTTATTTTTTAACTGATCATAATTATTTCATTCCTTTTTATATCAATAGAATGTTGGAAATTTGAACCGAGTGACCGTCCAAATATACAAGAGATTGTTTCAACTCTTAAATCAATGACTTCTCTTAAACAAGAAACTGGTGATGATTTTATTTCTACTTATAAAGGAATAGACAATTCACCAATTAACGATGAATCCACAGGGATGCTTGACGAATATGATTTGGAAAATATACCAAATGTTGATAATTTTAAAAATATTGGATCCGAAAGCAATTCAGGTTTACAACAATCGAATACGAAAAAAGTCTTACCAAATATATCAATTGATTCGTTCGAACCAATGATTAGTTATATAAACAATCAGATTGTTGATAAACTTATTACAACAATCATTAAGAAACATGATAAAGGAAATACATTTAATCAAATCGAATATTATATTAAGCAACTAATATTACAGTTTAATCAAAATATTAATGATCCATTAAATTGGCTTATCAAGAATCAAAATAGATCACAATATATATGGTTTTTAGGATTATTTTATTATTATAGTCTCGATGTAGATGAGGATAGTGGTAGGGCGTTTGAATTATTTTTAAAGGCAGCAAATGAAGGTGGTTGTTCGATTGCGCAAATTTATCTTGCGAGATGTTATTATGATGGATATGGAATTGAAAGTAATGAAGGATTGGCATTTAAATGGTATCAGAAAGCTGTAGAAAATGGAAGTCTTATTGGTCAATTTTATTTAGGACATTGTTATGAATTTGGTATCGGAATTAAAAAAAATGCAAAGGAAACAGTTTATTGGTACCAAAAAGCAGCTAATAATGGAAATATAATTGCCAAGCTTTATTTGGCAGATTGTTATAGATTAGGAAAAATAATTAATAAAGATGAAATCAGGGCATTTATGCATTATGAAAACTTAGCCAAACAAGAGGTCTCTGATGCTCAACGTCAACTTGGCAATTGTTTTTATAATGGTATCGGAACAAGAGTAGATACAGTACAAGCTTCTTGCTGGTATGAAAAAGCAGCAAACAATGGAGATATAATTGCAAAATATATTTTTGAACAAAAATATAATAAAAAACTAGATCTTAAAGGATTTAATAATAAACTCTATAAAATAATATATTTCGAAGGATTAAGACAAATAGGAATTAATAATTACAATGGAATTGGAGCAATCCAAAACTACAAAAAAGCATTTTATTATTTTCAAAAAGCTGCAAATAGTGGAAATAAAGTTGCACAATATAATTTGGGTAATTGTTTTAAAGATGGCAAAGGCATTGAAAAACATCAAAGAAAAGCTTTTGAATTAATTAAAAAATCTGCAGAACAGGGGTATATAAATGCAATTTTTGAACTAGGTTCGTGCTATAAAAACGGAATTGGAACCGATATAAGCAAAGTAAAATCATATGAATTATATAAAATAGCAGCTAATAAAGGATATAATATTGCTCAAAATTGTCTTGGAAAATTATATATGGATGGTGAAGGTATAGCAAAGGATTTAGAGAAAGCTATTTATTGGTATAATAAAGCAGCAGAAGATGGATACGAAGTTGCACAATATAATCTTGGTAATTTCTATCAATTTGGAATAGGTGTTGATAAAGATGAAATCAAATCTTTTAAAAATTATAAGAAGTCTGCAGAAAAAGAATACGTTGATGCACAATTTCAACTTGCTTACTGCTATCATAAAGGTTTTGGAACTAGAATAAATAATTTAAAAGCATTTGATTTATATCGTATAACTGCAGAAAAAGGATATAGTAAAGCACAAAGTAATCTTGGAATATTTTATGAAAAGGGTGAGTATATAAAAAAGAATTTAGAGAGAGCTTTTTATTGGTATAATAAATCAACAGAAAATGAATGTGATACAGGACAATATAATCTTGGTCGGTTTTATATTTTTGGAATTTATGTTCAAAAAGATGAAACTAAAGCTTTTAAATTGTTTAAGAAATCAGCTGAACAAGGTTATTTACTTGCACAATTTCAACTTGGATATTGTTATGATATAGGAAGTGGAATAAAGTAAAAGCATTTGAATTTTATAAAATAGCTGCTGAAAAGCAACATAGTCAAGCTCAAAATTTTCTTGGATATTTATATAAGGATGGTGATGGCATAGCAAAAGATTTAGAAAAAGCTATTTATTGGTACAAAAAAGCAGCAGAAAATGGTAATTATATTGCACAATACAATCTTGGTGTTTATTATCAATTAGGAGATGGAGTTGATCAAAATGAATCTAAAGCTTTTGAATATTATAAAATGTCTGCTGAAAAGGGATATTTTGATGCACAATTTCAACTTGCTTACTGCTATCATAAAGGAATAGGAATTAATATTGATAAAATTAAAGCATTTGAGTTATATAAAGAAGCAGCTAATAATGGACATATTATAGCTCAAAGTAATCTTGATTATTTTTATGAAAATGGTGAAGGTACAGAAAAAAATTTAGAAAAGGCTATTTATTGGTATAATAAATCTGTAAAGAATATTAATTAACAATTTATTTACTTATAATTAAATTTTTAATTTTTGTAAAAGATTCTTATATAATTTATTATTAAAAAATATAATTAAAAAATTTAGAAATGAGGGGAAGTTAATAAATATTTAGATTACAATTGAAATAAGTAGTTAAAGTCTTAAATATTAAAATAAATTTAGTTTTGATAAAACCTATTGATACCATATGAAGTCAATCTTATTACATCACAAAGATTGATAAATAATCAACGTTATTAACACCATTAGAATTTTTAATTTAATTAATATTTTTATTTTACTTATTTTATTCTTATATTTTATTATTATTATCTATTATATTATTATCAATGTTAAATTATAATTCATCTTTTATATTTATCTTAGCATTATAAAATAGTTTAGTATTAGATAATAAATTCTTATAATTGTATTTTTGTATAAATAGGATAGAAATTTGTCCTTATAAAAGGGCAGAGATAATAGTGTAAACTCAATAGTTTGAGTTTAACACTTAGAATCCAAGGTTAAGGATTGCTAAGGATACAAATCTTTACAATAAAAGAATCTCTTTCTAAACTAAACATATTTAAAATCCTTCAACGTGTCAATTGTATTTATTGTGTTTACAAATTGTTAAAGTTATTTTTACTTGTCTAAAGTATAAATCTAAGATTAATTGTGATAGGACTTATTTTACAGTAACTTAGTAGTTTCTCACACGTTACTCTCTGTTATTAAGTCATAATTACTCTAAGTTTGACAGGCTAAACGTAGGGTTAATACTGTATATATAATTTTTAATAAAATTTGAATACAGTCAATTCTCTTTAAATGTATTCCTTTAGGATTATAGTGAAAATTTTATATGATTTATATATATTTAATATTAAATAAAAATATATATTTAAAGAAAAGTATATAGCATATAGATTTAAAAAGTATGCATTTTAAAAAAAATAATTGTTATTATCTTAGTATTTAATTAATTAAAATATTTGATTTGATTATCTTTGATGATTTGTAATTATAATTATAATTATAATTAAATTTGTCAATAAAAACTAGATTTATGATTACATTCAACTCTTGATATGGCAAACTCTTGATATAACAAATTTTTTGAACAAATATAATAAAAATACTCTTGTTATAGTGAATCGGCCAATCAAATCTCTTAAAATCTTCACTATAGCCTTATAGCGAAGTTGAGGTCTAGGACATAGAGTTTATTATAATAAGAGTTGACT